CAAAGTGGGCGAAATTGGCGATTTGTAAACAGCACCGAGGTCGCTAACTTCGCGAGAGCATAATTCCGTCAGTTTTCCGTCAAATTTCGTTTTTTTTGTGTCATTACAATCGAGAAAAGATTCTCTATCATTTCATAAGAAAAAATATTTTTTTTTTTTTTTAAATTTTGCGACACCAGGAGACACCTCAGGATTGGGGGTTGCGACAGTCAAAGGGTTAAGGGCTTCAAGAAAAGGTTGGAAGAGACTGGAGTCATGAGGCCACAGAGCAAAGATGTCATCCACATAACAGAGCCAGAGTGAAGGGCGCACATCGATGGTAGGAAGAAGAACAGTCTCGATACACAAATAACCCATGCGGGTTATTTGTGTATCGTCCCAGTCACAGTATTGTGCCTATTTTTTGTTATTTGTAAATGACCAAGGCAGGTGTAAATGTCCACCTGTCAATGTGTTTGTGACAATTTGAGCACAATTTCAGTACCTAATATTAGTGTCAGAACAAAGATTGGTTATGAAATACATACCAAGAAATACAATAGAATACAGCATATGTGCAGAGAAGTAGCTTATATACAGTAGGCAGGAGAGGTGCAGCAGTCGTAGGTAGTGTCACATTTGTCCAATGTGGAAGTAGGTCGTGCCCAAGGGTTAGGCAAGTGAAGAATTCCCAAGTATTAAGATACCCAAGAAGTTGCACATATGCTGTATTCTATTCAAGATTGATGGACTGACCACATCGACTCAAGGTTGAGGGACTGATTACCTCATTCTCCTCCTGTTCTTCACGATTCTCCTTTGTATGGACTGATTAAGCCACTGTGTGGTGAAACGTTTCCTCAATAAAGATACCCAAGCGTTGCATGTGTCCAATTTATAAAAAAAAATGGTATATCAGCAACATTCCCTCAAGTGGCAGGACTTGATGTTGCCGTCAGGTGAGCATTAAGTAAATACTGACCCTATTTTTTTATTTTCATCCTATTACACTTAGAAAATTTTTCTCTGTATTTCAATGAAAAAAAAAACAAGATTTTTTTATTTTTCAAAATATTCGGGGCACTGGGGGAGAGAACGTGTCCATACATTTGGACCCGTTTAGGGGTTAATGACCCTAGTGTAGTCAAGGGACTTTAAACCTAACCAAGCAAGAGAGAGAGAGAATCTTATGTCATCCACAGGCACCAACCTTGTCAATGACACCAAGGTGCAGAGTGGGTGAGAGCTTGGAGATGGCCAGTAGTGGCTGGTAGGTGTGGTGCAGTGCTGTGGCCAAGTCAACCAGGCCCATGTTCCCTGTCTGGTTGACCAAGTCTTGAAGCTGGTCTTGCATAATGGTGTGGGGGTTCATTGCCCACACTCCTTCCCCACACATACCTGAAAACAAATAAATTACATATGTTATATTACCTCCCACACAACTTGTGAGACGGTTCATTACCCACAATACTTCAGGATAAAGAAAACACAAGATGAAGACACCAGACTCAGGAGAGGGAGACACCAGACTCAGGGAAAAGAGACAGTGGACACAGGAGAGGGGGAGGGAGAGAGAGAGAGAGAGAGAGAGAGAGAGAGAGAGAGAGAGAGAGAGAGAGAGAGAGAGAGAGAGAGAGAGAGAGAGGAGGAGAGAAAAGAGAGAGAGAAAGAGAGAAAGAGAGAAAGAGAAAAGAGAAAGAGAGAAAGAGAGAAAGAGAGAAAGAGAGAAAGAGAGGAGAGAAAGAGAGAAAGAGAGAAAGAGAGAAAGAGAGAAAGAGAGAAAGAGAGAAAGAGAGAAAGAGAGAAAGAAAGAAGAAAAGAGAGAAAAGAGAAAGAGAGAGAGAGAAAGAGAAGAGAGAAAGAGAGAGAGAAAAGAGAGAGAGAGAAAGAGAGAGAGAGAGAGAGACAGGAGAGAGAGAGACAGAGAGAGACAGAGAGAGACGAGAGAGAGAGACAGAGAAGAGACAGAGAGAGACAGAGAGAGACAGAGACAGAGAGAGACAGAGACAGAGAGAGACAGAGAGGACAGAGGGGAGACAGAAAACAGAGAGAGACAGAGAGAGACAGAGAGAGACAGAGAGACAGAAGAGAGACAGAGGACAGAGAGAGAGAAGAGAGAGAGAAGAGAACAGAGAGAGAGAGAGAGAGAGAGAAGAGAGAGAGAGAGAGAGAGAGAGAGAGAGGGGGAGAGAAGAGAGAGGAGAGAGAGAGAGAGAACAGACATAGAGAGAGACATAGAGACAGAGAGAGAGACAGAGAGACAGAAAGAGAGAGAGACAGAGAGACAGAGAGAGAGAGGGGAGAGAGAGAGAGAGAGAGAGAGGGTAAAGACGTGTCACAGTGTGCCCCCACAAACTTTCTTAATATTACTTAAATATGAGGGTTGGTGTGGATAATAACTTTTTCAGTGACGTATACTATTTTAAAACACATTGTACAAGTAAGCCAACTCCTCCACTGAAGTGAATATAAGCAATATCATGACATTAATGTGGTATGGTGAAGAATGGTGAGTGAGGGGACAGGGGGCAGGCCTTAGGAGTGACTTCGCTATTGCCTTCAGAGTGAACATCTAATATTATATGTTTTGTGCTATGTACTAGCATCTGGTTTTTTTAAAAAACAACGTGGCTGGTACAATGCAAACAGTGATTTGTGTAACATCTTCCTTAGTGGAAAACGGAGTATAAACAGTGTTTATTAAGTGGATAGTGAAGGCAACACTTCCAGCTAGTCGGCTACTGCCGCCCGCCCTCACTACCCACCCGGCCATAAACACCCCCACCCACGACATCACCACCCACCCTCTCTCTCCTGTGAACTTCAAACCTACAAGCCTCCTCTGGGATGACTTCACACCGCAAAATAGCAAGATTATCTACGCTATCTGGCTATTGTCCCAGTAGATACTGCAGTGTTTGTGGGTATACCACAAGGGACAAAATTCTTCTTGGATGTAAGGAGCCTACTTGTTCCAACTACTGCCACACAGATTGCATTCCAGAAGGAGAATTTTGTTGCAGCCAGGTTGAAAATTTCAGAAAATTTAAGGATATCCTTTAATCCTGTGGTATATGTGGATACAACCCTGGAGCTACAGGAGGAAGGTTCAGAAGTCCTACCTCAGGGACTCCAGTCCAAGACAAGACTGCCTCTTGGGCTGTGTTGTAAAGTTGCAGCTAAGATAATCCATCACAGGGAAGCACTTCATGAGCTCCTCAAATCATTAGATAACCTACAAGCTATTGTAGAAAGGCCAGTGCAGCCTGCATCAAGTGACGTAAGCTGCTCAGCTGATGGTGACACTTTTTGACAAAGACTGGAAGTCCCACACTGAGCTTAATCAGGGGTAAACAACTGGTGGAATTCTGTCATCGCTAAGGTCCACAGACTGACAGAGTTCAAAACACTACCTTTGGGAATTCTAACACAATTCCTCTGACCACCACAGGGGGAACAAATCCTCTTCCCAGCAACGAGGGAAGCCTTGGATCTGTTAATTCTCCTACACCTGACATCTTTGCTTCAGCCACTGCCGGTCTACTTGACGTGCACATACCATCTCTGATCCTACACCTGTCAGCAAAACCTGCCGATACTATTCTAGAATCTGGTAGTAGTGCTTCGAGAGCAAGTTCTGAGCCAGGAGTTTCTCCACCAGAGAACGGTGCAGTTAGTAAATCAGGGAACTATCACGGGCACCTGATCACCTACTGCGCCGAAGTACAAACAGCAGGGACACATCTGTCAGAACTGGTAGAGGACGGGTAGAGGACGTGGAGGAGGACGGGGAGGAGGAAGACATCTACAGCCGTCTCACCCTCCACCTAACACAGTCCAGCGGCAGAATCTGAGGACAAATCTGCGAAACACAGGAGGTGAAAAACAAATCCTAGTCCACCCTCCCAGGCACCCAGGCTGTGCTCCGCTGTCCCCGGAAGGGGCACTCTGCCAACAACTGCCTGCGAGATCCCAGGTTAATTACTGCTACAAGAAAGGACATAAGGAGGACCAGTGTCGGAAGAAAAAGGAACTTGACAGACAGGGCCACCTTTTAGAGACCTTTTCTCAGAAAAAACCCAGCAGGATCTCTGAAATTTGGGGAACACTCTCACACGTCACCCACTTAGTACTCCTATCCCAGCCCAGCAGGTGGGATTGGGCCTTATACAAGACCCAGACCTACATCCCTGTAGCTGCCTCAGTACCCTACCTCTCTCAAGGCAGGCACCTTACATTCCCTTTCACACCCCCCCACCCCAAGCTGACCCCCTTATCATGAGGAGCCAGTCTATCAGCATCCTGTCGGCCAACATTAGAGGTTTCATTACTAATGTTGGAGAGCTCACACATAGCTTTGTGAACACTCGACGTCCCGACATATAGCTGTTGTTGGGAAAAATTTTTTGGGTGACGGACTCCAGAAAATTTGCAAGAATTGCTGGCTATTACCTCATGGATGAGAAGAGACAGGCAAGGGCAAGGGGGAGGTGTTGCTGTGTGCTTCTCTAAAAGTGTTCATGCCCAGCACATTGATGTTGCCACCCCTACTCATCTTGAAATGATGTTCTTCAAGCTCTGCATAAACACTAGTACCTCTGTACTAGCATGTGCAATGTACAGACCTCAGTGGCAACATGCAGACCCATCAACTTCCTAATGGAAAATATTGACTCCCTTCTGCTACAACACAATTGTCAACCTATCATAATTGTTGGTGACCTCAACCAGCATCTTATACAGAGGGACTTTGATGACCTTCTTGCAGTATTTGACATGAGAGACTTTGTTGATTTCCCTAATCACATCTCTGGCTCCTCCCTGACCCAGTAAATGAGTGATCTGGCAGAAGGCATAGTCACTTTTCAACCCCTCGGCTAACGTTGGATCGTCGACCACAAGGTTGTTTTTACGACACTTTAAAATCCCAACGAAAGAGGTGAGGAGTCCCACATGCACAACCTGGCTATGGGAAAGAGGGGAATTGGCCGCCCTTTGCTCTGAGCTCACCACCACCGATTGGAATGCTCTTCTCCAAGGGGATGTTGACAACCAAGTGAAAGCCTTCACTGGACACATCCTTAACCTACAATAAGAACACATTCCTCACTGGCAATATGTGACGAAGCCTACAGATCAGCCTTTGGGTTTTGGGTTTCATTGTAGAGAGGCTGCTACTGCTAAGTTACAAGGCATGGCAAAGGTATAAGAGACATCCTACCACCTATAACAGGAACTTGCACAGGCAAGCCTGTAGGCATATGGGTGACGTTCAAAAGTGGGCCATTGCTAAATGGGAGGTGGACACAAAAAGAAAGCTAGCATCAGGTAGGGTAGGCTCCAAAACCTGGTGGTCCCTGGTCAAGGACAGACAAGGTTATCTGCCTGATGAACTCATTCCACCTCTAAATCGACAGGATGGGATCACCTCTACTAGTAGTCAAGAGAAGGCAGACCTCTTTGCTGAAGACTTTGCTACCAAAATGCAAGTTCCTGATCCAGCAAGGGGGCCCTCCTTGGCTAGCTGCAAGAACTGTGTCAAAACTGTCCGGGTGACAATAAGGCAGGAAGAGGTGCATTTCCTTCTTAAATCACTTGACCAAGAAAAGGCTGTGGGCCCAGACAAGTTGAGCCCAAGATTGCTGAGAAGATTTGCAGACCAGCTAGCAGCACCTCTAACTCGCATCTTTCAGCACTGCCTGGTACAGTGTAAATGGCCTTCTCTGTGGAAAGAGGCAAATGTAGTCCCTGTTCACAAAAAGAAGAGCAGAGCAGAAATCAGCAACTACAGACCAGTGTCACTCCTGTCAATCACTAGCAAGCTCCTTGAGACAATAATCTCAAGACAAATGACAGAGTTTTTTGACTACCACTCACTACTTTGTGATCATCAATATGGCTTCAGGAAAGATTACTCTGCTGCTGATCTGTTGTTAAACCCCCTTTCCCTAGTGGCCAGTCACTGGATGAATCCCAAGTCAGCTGTGTAATAGCACTGGACATTGCTGGCGCTTTCAACCGGGTATGGCACCAGGGACTCTTAGCAAAACTGCAAGCTCTGGGAATTGCAGGCTCTATGCTATGTCTCCTCAGTGATTACCTTCATGGTAGATCTCTAAGTGTAGTTTTCAATGGAATGGAATCAGCAAGACATCCTATTATGGCAAGTGTTCCACAAAGAAGCATTCTGGGACCATTGTTATGGAATGTCTACTTCACTGACCTTCTTCATCTCATTCTAGAATCCCATGCATATGCAGACGACTGTACACTGACATTCACTTATCCAAGAGAAGAAATGCCAGTTGCTCTAAGCTACATCAATCACCAGTTAAGAGCTATATCAGCTTGGGTAAATAGATGGCAAGTAACATTTGCACCTGAGAAAACACATATGA